GGTGGAGTGGGCGTTGAAGTCTCCTAGTACTATAGTTTTGTGTGAGATGTTCAGAAAGTCAAAGTTTGGACAATTCTGGGGTGGATTATAGACTGCATATATCTTGAAGTGGTTTTGACATTTCCAAACATTTAATCTGATTATTTCACATTAGTCTTGTGTCGAGCCCATACTCTTGATTAGATCGTAGTGTGAGGTGAGGCCTTCTTTTACTCCAGTTAGAATTCCACTTGCAACTTGCCGGTATTTAGGTAGATTGTACAGGGTGTAACCTGGGAATTGGTAGTACTTCAGTTTGTCATCCGAAATGTTTGCTTCCATAATTGTGAAAATGTCTACATCATAGGTTTGTAGGATTTTCTGTACTTGGATCTTTTTGTCCGGAGACATTCCTCCAGCATTCCACTGGAGGATCTGAAGACGTTGTGATTCGCCCTGACGAGGGCGATTTTTCTTATAGCCTTTTTTAAAGCTGATCATAATAAATCGAAGTCAAAAACGAATGCCGATTGATAGACTTTTTTGCCGTAAGAAAATACGTTGTCCAGGGTGCCCCACGTGGAGGTAAGTCTATCGCGCACCCCACTACTGAGAAATAGATGCGTAGAATTTGGTATTGAACAAATTATTTGCTTTCTGGTTAACCGTTATTGGCGATGGGTTCTTCGCTGGCGGTCTATTGTATCCAAGACCGTTCGTAGAAGTCCAATGAACGGAAGTTCGTTATGCGAGAGAACTTGCAAATGCGAACTGCTCATTTTGGAGTGTATTGTGGAGTGACTATTCTAGTTACTACTTGGCCAGCTAAATAGTAAATCGATTTTACCTTCCTATCTGAACTAGACTTCAAAAGTCTCTGATGTTCTACTGCCTCCTCGAAGTTGTGTGTGCTTGTTTCTGTTCGCTTTGGCAGTAAATCACATCAAGGTCTATATTTGCATACCTAAATTAGGTGAAATCCAGATAATTACTGGTTTCTAGCAGACCTATTTTAGTCGTTTAAACTTCTGTTCCTTGCAGACAGGTAAAGCAAAAGAGTCTTTTGCTTTCATTGATTTAATATATCATAAGCGCACGCTTAAGTCTTGGTCCAATTTTTTCACGACTCTTGTTAGAAGGTAGAGAGCTGGGTAAATATTCCATAAATAATTGTGGCCAGATCCTTCCTTATTACAGCTTGTTGATTGAGTTACTCCTTTCAATATTACCAGTTTTCTTAAGTTTGATCAGATGCGTACTCAACCATCAAGTACAGCAGTTAGGAACTAAATGAAATAAACATTAGTATACGTTCTCATACCTCGCTTTACCTGTCACTCCTCTGCATTGTGTAAAAAAGCATGCGATTGACGACTAATAATTAAGGGATCTGCCATAAACATCTCTGTTACCTGGTTACCTTGAAAAAGTCAGGAATCATTGAGAATAGATGATTGTGCATTCAATGTGATTTGTGTTGACAGGCGATCTTAAAACTAGTATCATAGCTATGTGTAGCTGTCCTCCTCCCACCAACTCCGTTGATCTAAATCTAAATAAGTTAAATCAAATTAGTTAAGTTTAATTTAAGGTTAATAAATATCGAATGCTTTGTTATCTCCTTACTGAAAATTTGTGCTGATTACCTATGCAAAGTCATAATGATTTTCTCCTGCATGCAACCATCGTTGGTAGATGATTCACCGTTAACAACAGGTCCACTAACTGCGAAGATGGATCTCATTTCTGACCATTGCTGCTCATCGCCTAATTATTCGTTTCCCTAATGAATGGCCTTTCAATGGTCACAACGGAGATGTAAATCCGGTCTTGCATTCCATGATTAAAAGACTTCCATACGCAAGCATTATTTGGCGAGGGAAATTAGTTTTCACGTTAGTTGCGTACTAATCGATTTCAACAACACTCAATCGCAATAGTATAGCTTTTGCCATTGATTCTACATACTGTTTTTGAGTTAATCCCTCTGCTTGAAATGTTGGTGGAGCTAGACCGCTCGAATCCTACTTTAATTAAGACGATATTGGAGTGCATTCCTATTATACTAACTATTCTGTATTGTGCTATTTGGATAGCATTTCCTGATCAATTGAATGTTGAGTTGCTTGTGGAAGTGAAAATTACTCTGTTGCTGGAGTTGCCCATGTTACTTCTGACATTTTTCGCTTGAAATATTTCAGAATGTGCTTAATTTATTGATCATAGCCCTGGAGGCGATTTAGTTTCAAAGAACGATTTCGATATGTGTGCCCATTTTCCCCTATTTTCATAATCGTAGTCTATTTTATCCGATGGTATACTGGAATCGAATTGTGAAGTTTCGATGGTGGCACCAATATCGGGGCTCAAAAAAAGTATTAAATGGGAATGCACTGATGGAGCGATTGCTGCACAAGTAGCATCATAGTTAATTGAATGATCGATCAGTGAGTATTGAGTAGCATGAATAGGCATAAAGCATTTTAATTATGGAAAGTGAACTTCCTGTTAACCTATTTAAGTTTCTTTCTCTCAATCCTTCGGATTCTACTACGAAAGAAACAGTAGGCATGCAGTCAACAATCGAGTAAAAGGAGAAAAGGGAATGTGCTGGTGTGTCGGCCTATCAAATCCCCTCCTATCGCCCCTATAATTTAAATGATGAAATTGACAGTGAAGTTAGTGACGAAATTTCAAAAATATGACTACTAATGCGGAGCAAAATACAGTTCTCAATCATCATCAAATGGCATCTACGATCGAATAATAATCCGCCCTAAAGAGTTTAAGGGGATTATTATCGAGAAAGTTGAACATCCTAAGCAACTTGGGCTGAAATGAACGAGAGATTTTATTTAAAGTTCTACTGTCTAGATGTTTCCCTACGATTTGGCATTCTTGCTTTTTTGTTAAATAATAATTTCCACTTTTCAACTTTTGATTATCTTTCTTAGGAAAGCCAGAAGAAAAGTAGTTCCAAAGCTTCGGGGACAGAGGAACAGATCTATAGGGAGAGCTTCAAGGAACCCCCTCCATTGGCAAACCTCCTCAACCTGGGGGGTCGATTTGTGGGCCGCGGATGTGGTGAGGGAGTGCGTCCCTTCGATGGAATCATGCGCCACTTCTTTGTGGAGACTGTGGGTCAGTTAAAAATCTGGCGCATTTCGGAATATATTGCGAAACCTCTAGAAGTGGAACATTATGGTCAGTTCTCTCGGGGAGAGACCTATGTCATTCGTTGGCCCTTCCGTATCTATAACAGTAAGTTGTCTTGTTCTTCATTGTTCTCTTTGTGTGAATTCTCAACGTGATAAAATATCCGGCCGAGTTTGGGGAGAACTGTATGCACTGAAGATTTGTTAGTATTTTCTCTTTTTCAGCTGTGTTCATAGTTAGGGGACATGTATGCTGTCACTTACTTTTGCGCGTCCAAATTTTTAAACGTTGATTTTGTATTTGTTACCGATTCTATGCAAAGTGTGTTAAATCAGCTACTTATGGAGCGATTTGTTTACAACTGTAGTCTCTTGAATTGAATTTATTTATGTCCTGATGCTAGAAATTACTGATAAGGAAATTACAGAGCCTTTGATGGTGGAATTCAATCTTACTTTTCTTAATTATACGTACGTCTTAGGTATTGCCAGAATTTCATTTACTCATCATTTGGCTCGTTAAAAGTTTGCAGATGTGCATATTGTAGAGTCGGAACAATCTTGTTCAGATTATCATGACATCAGTTCATGTGAGCGTATTCCAGACTCATTGATCCGCATCCAGCTGTGGTCGGCCAACTGTACTAATTAAATCTAGTCAGCAGGACATTTTGGAGAACTATACGACTTCATATGATGTATCCTTAGACATTGTTTTCCATGCCCACTCATAAGTAATGCTTTTTAATTTAAAGGAATATGACTTCGCTTCTATTAAGCTTAATATTTGATATTGGCTTGTTTTGTTCCTTCAAAAGTAGGTCTTCATCACTGTTTAGCAGCTTTTATGAAAGTGAGAAGTTGCTCCTTTATTCACCTTTTCTTCATTTGACTTACTTCTCTTTGACCGCCTGCAAAAATCTCGCCCAACCTCATATAACATCCTGTCATCTGTCAGATTTGTTGAAAAGTTAAAGCTGCATTTTTCAAATTCTTTCCTGTGGAGTGAAGAAAAAAGGTATCGTCCACTTAGAAAATGGATGTACTTGGTTTGGTAAAAGTTCACATAAATGACGTCGAGACTCTTTTCTCAAACTCAACGAAGGAAAATCGATGACAAATAGACATGGACGAAGGGATGGGAGTACACTATCTATTTGTTCCCTACTAAAATCTTTTTTCTCAAAAACTAGTAGCATCTTACATGTAGCTTAAAGCAATTTAATAAACTCACCTATTATAAAACAGATCTGTACTCCAGCAAAAAGCTGTCAAGTTTTTGTGTTTTGGATTCTCCACGAGTAAGGCTCAACTTTCCCCGAGTTACTGAAGACAGTGATCATCTCAGTTAGTGCCCAGGATTTTTTCAACAACCATTATTATTTTTAATCTAATTTAGCGCTTCTATTACACCTTTAAAGGTAGTCGGCAGGAGGCAAAGAAGAATGAGATGAAGATGAACAACACAAGTGTAGCTCAGAAGGCCACAGGTGATCAATGCGCCTACTTCTTTTGGCATGGTTCCACCAGCAAGATTACTCAACAGGGCTCTGCGGCCCTCATGACTGTTGAAATGGACAAGGAACGCGGTCCCCAGGTTAGTACGATCTCTTTACCCCAGTGATGCCTCTTATTCTTAACGTAGCGTTGCAGCTTATGTTATCTAGAATAGGGTAATAATATGTGAATTGGATAGAAAATACGATCTCTAGCGATAAACAGATTGTTGATTTATATTGTGTCTACTCTGACGTATCCTAATCGGAGGAGTAAGAAAGTATATTCAGCGTAAAGGCCTAATGATGCGAGGACATAAATATTTGGTTTAGAGGAACAAAAAATCGTTTTCTAAATGGGTCATTGTACCGAAAAGATTACCATCGCTGCAAATTTATTCGATCTGCTTAGCATTTTTATTTAGCAAATATCAAATAATCTATTTACACGAGCGCATCTACTGAACAACGTAACTAGAGTTAATGATTGAAACTGCTCAAGATATATTTGCCAGAATGAGAGTTAGAGAACTTCTACCTGTTGCTTTTATCTACTTACTATTTTAGCATATGGCATTCTGTCTAAGTTATATTTTTATCGTTGCGCATTTCGCTATGACTTCACTTCTTGGTGATCATTAATGAACAGAGTGATTTCTCAGCCCAATAGTTCTTTCCTATTACATTAATAATTGCACGGTATTCAGTTAAGGTGTGTGAATGTTGATTATTTTCAAGTGTTTTTTATTTATTTCAAATACCAGGCGTTTTGATAGTTACCATGAGCCCTTTAGTTGACTCTGGGCTTTGCAGAGGGGAGGAACATTAAAGTGAGAAAAATTCGAGGGGGGGGGGGGGGAACAGAAGAGTGATTCACAGATGTAAAAGAGACAAACACAAAGGTAAGGAAAAAGATAAGGTGAGATGAGTTCTATGGAAGTGGTCGAGTATGACATACAGTGGGGTCATGGTAGTTTGAAGTCAGAAGTCACCTGTCCATTAATAGACTTTTTTGCCGTATGGGTATACGTTGCCCAGGGTGCTCCACGTGGAGGTAAGTCTATCGCACACCCCTCATTTTTAAGTATAGTAAACGTGTTTCTTATTCCGTTTAATTAGATTCGTGTGGTTGAAGGAAAGGAACCCCCGGCCTTTTGCAGTTTATTTCATGGAAGAATGGGTATCTACGACAGTGACTCTTTTGAGGTAAACTGATTGTTACTATGCACTGTTTTTCTTGAAACCAATGCCGGAACATTTCAGGTCACTAAAATAATTTTTTTGAATCAGAAATCGTAGTGCAAAGTAAGGATATATATTTTTTAGTATCGACTATTATGTTCTAGATAAAGGATTCCTACTTTCATTGGTCCACCCATATCTGTGAATATGGAAAGGAAGATGATATTCAATTATTGATGACAGTGGAGTCGATTAAGAGACATTTCGAGCCACATTTGCTTTATTTACAAAATCAGTGCTCACTCGTAAATGAACGGGTAGAAACGCACAAACATGTAACTTTGGATCTCTGTGATTATTTGTGTTCATTTAGTCAATCAATGGATCGGAGTAGAATGGGTGTAACTATCTGATAACCCACCTAGAAGGGTCATGTGAACTTTAAATATGACATGAGCTAGATTTTCGACATAGTTGAACAGTACAGAGATAGACAGTCAGTATCTCCAGTTTTAAAATTCATCCTCTTTCTCTCTTACTGTGTTTCAAGAATGAAAACTGTTTTTCCTGACGTCTTTGCATCCATCTTTATAACACTTTCAATACTCGTTTTTCCGAAGTCTTTTGAGTGGGAAATCGCACTGGTTGCCGAGTTTGTACAGTAAAGCTTGGAGACGTCACTTTGTTTTTAATCATTAGTAGTTTTAAGCATTCCGAATACTACATTCAAAATTACAGAAATTTGCAAAAAAATGTTGGAATCAACCTCTGCATAGGCTGGTTTGTGAAAGGTACGCTTATAGCGCCTATTCTGCCATGCCTTTCGTTCGTAATCCCATTCCTCTAACATTTCGAATGAAATTTAAAACTTGGGGATGGTCTCTTTCTATCGAAATTTGTACAGGAGATATTTTAGTTCTTCTGTTACTTATTTAGTGTCTTATTGATTTACTAGAGACCATCAGTTCGAATGTTCCTTGTTCGTGGAGAACGAGGCCCTGAATCCCATCTCTGGCAAGTTGTCGCCGAACTGAACTCCCTGCGCTCCTATGGAATCTTCCTCGTTGTGCAGAATGGCAAGGAGGAAAGCGATGACAGGTGTTGGTTGTGGATAGGATCCAAAGCCTCGTTGGTTAATGTGAACGCAGCAAATCATCTCATTGGAGAGTTTGAAAAGGGGTGCGTATAGGGGTTTCTAGTTCTTGCTTTAGACTGTATATTCGGCATAATTGCACAACTTTATAAGTCCACACTATTTTTTAATGTGTAATTTAAACAATATTCCATTGAAATTTTCGGCTTTACCGATCTGAAATAACTTCATTGTATGTACTTTGGTATTGTGTAGGGCCATACAAAGCTAGCAAAAGTGCTGTTCACTGATGGGTGTTCGCGAGCAAAAGATTTAAGTCCTTTATTTTGAGAGGATACTTTTAAGAAGAAAACCAGTTACCTGATCACCTTTCTCTCTGGTTCAGTTAAATCGTAAGTAGTTCAAGCAACCAAATACAGAAAAAAGTCAATTTTCGTCAAAATGAGTTATTATTAACGGGTTTTATCGACGGCATCATCAACCCTTTTATTTGACTAATAATAATCCTAAATATTTTTACTTTAAGAGTACAGAAATTTAAAGCAGACTTAAGCCGGAAGTATCAAAAAGCGTATATAGGAATCAATTACGGATCTAAAGTGCACCAAAAGTTTCATTATTTCAGAGCATGCGAATTTTTATAATATTTATGGGTATTTACTCATTTTTTAAATAGATTTCCTCCCGAACTTGGTTCTAAAAACATGCGAGTTACACAGTTGAAAGAATCAGATAAAATGAACCCTCAGATGACTGTATTCTTGTCTGTTCTCAATGGTGGTGAATCCACAGACCAACAAATTCTACCCACTCTGGGACAAGGTAAATTCTGAAACAACTGAAATTGATTTTACTTTTTGTATTGTACTGTTTCTAACTATTCCTTGTAGATATTCAGCGTCTTATTGTGTGGCAGCTGATCTACACTCTAGATCAACAATTAACCCCACTTCGATTACCGTATGCTCTTGAACCCGATATCACCACCTCTGCTGATTTCGGACTTCAAGTGAACACTTACGTTGAAACTCACTGTCTCTACTCCGCAAATCTTCCAATACCACCTTTTCCTACTCTCCTAGATGATCTCTACGCTGCTGAACAACCAGGCATTTATCTCACTTTTATCTCATTTAGACATTTTCCATTCAATAACAGCTTCATTATCCTCTTATTATAGCCCTGTTTCTGATCATACATGGTAAAGACGTGGTCTACTTATGGCACGGCTGGTGGCCTGATACGGTTACTAACGGGGGATCCCAACTTCCCTCACGGAAATCCTCATTTTCTTCGAAAACTGGTCCTACTGAGACGAGTTCGGTAGCAATGCGTCGCAGGAGACTGGTTAATGTACCCACTCGGCCAACAAGTCTTCCGGTTGAGTCGATTCTTCAATCATCGTCGCATATGTCGGCGGGTGCCACCAACACCACTGCTGTGTCACCCTCGTCGCCTCTCGTGGAGGCAACGAGCCTAAATCATCGCTTTATCACCGCTCGTCTCACCGCCTTGAGATGTGCGCTCAGCTTGGCCCAAAGAAGTAAGCAATTATTAGTTTGCTAGCTATAGTTATTTTATCCGCTCATCGTCGTATAAGAAACAAATTTCATTTTTTTCAACTCCTAGAGGAATTTCTCGGGTGTAAAATAGTAAGGAACTTATTAAAAGCTAAGTAAAATGCAACGCTATATCCGTTTTAAATCCGTTGTCGTTGCCCTTATATATTTTGCAGTGGTATTTGAATTTGTTCATTGGTTGATTATTTCTCTTTACAAGGAGACGTTGACACGGGGCGTCTGTGCAATTAACTTATTTTTAATGGAAGATTTCTGAATGCAAATGATATTCAAAGTGAAGGGAACAGCTTTAGGTCTTAGAACTGCTCTAATCTACTTCGTTCCATATCCGTAATACAGAGGATGTATTTTTCGTAAACCAATAATCACGTTGTCACCTATGATTTGAGGGTATAATGACATAGCAACCTCGCTATTTAATAGAAAGCATTTTTCAGTTCTCGGACTAACTAGTGTAATGGGGGTTTAGAGGGAATGATATGAACCTATGACCTTAAGTATACTTAATTGCAGCACTGTGCTGCTATTTACGAAGCGTTGTGGTCAGACGGTCGCTTCCACTCATTTTTGTTCTTTTTAATCTTTTTCGGCCCATTCATCTAATGACTTTCATACTGCCTTCCTTTGGTAAATATATTTTTAAATCACACTTTCTACAATACGCGCATAAGCTGGACTCCAATACTATCGATGACTAGACAGTGAATTGACTCTTATTGTATTACTGTAATAACATTTCGTAGGGTACTCTCGTATTCTCCCTCTGAGTATGGGTCTACTTTTGCCTAGAAATATTTGATAGGAATGTGAACCATAATAGCGGAGGTTTTGCACCACAACAGGTAGGTACCCTTTCGAAAGTGTCTTTACGATATTTAATCTTACCTAATCTAGACTAAATGATAGGCAATACATTTGAGGAGCTTTAAAAATGCATTCGATGCTTTTAGGCAAGCATAGTTATTACCGCAACCTTATTAGACTTTGGTTCTTTATTTAGTTAGTCCCACCACGCGTGCAGTCTCCGTATACGCTGGAATCGAACCGAAGGAATTCTTACATCTGTTCCCACCCGCACTGTGTTCAACCGAGGGCGCTGCCTCATATCACTTAACTGCGAGTTTTTTTCTACAAATTTGGACAATTCCGAGTTAACAATTATAAGTTCATGGAGGTTTTCTACAATTTTAGAATGGGAAATCGCCCGATCAAATAGATAACGTGGAAGATGTTCTTGATCAACTGGAGAAAATGAAGTTCAGTCTTCAAGAACTCCAAAAGAATCCTAAACCACCAGATTTAGACATTACTCGTATAGAGATATATCTGAGTAATGAAGAATTTGAGGTGAAGCCTTCTTTTTTATTACTCTAATTTGGAAATTCTAATCACATTTTGCTGACAATTTGATCCGCCAATGCAGTAGCAAAGCCTGGTGAGGCTACTAATATGTCTAAGTCTATTTAAATAACCCCGGATGATAAGCGAAAAGTAAAATGGTTATGATGCATCAGCCCGTTCGTTGGTTTCATTATTATCACTCGTAATTATTTAAAAAACTCCTTTGACAGCTTCTGGAAATAGAAAAAAACAGTCTTTATAGGCACTAAACGGGGGTAGGACAATATCCGCATTTTATGAAGCATTTTTGTCCCTTTACGCATAAGATATATGAGTAACCACACAATCATACCGTATAATCCCAATGGTCCTTATCTCAATTTTCACGATTTGGTCCCTGGGATTCCACGTGATTTCTTGACTAATAGTAGCGAACTTTTGGATCAGCCACTTTAATAGAATGGTTAGTCACTCAGGTGGATGCAATTAAAGAAGACGTTTAAATGTGGTAATTGAGCTTCCAAATTAACTGTGTTGCTCTATGAATACCACCACACCAGGAGTCGGAAGAGTGGCTAAATATGTATTTTTGAAATGCAAACTTGCGTATCTTTGTCGCATAAGTTCGTTTACCGCAAAATATGACCCCAAAGTTGGCCCAAGGATGAGAATATCAAAACTGACAGGGAGGATATTGTTTGAGCTGCAGATTGGTAATCAACCGCCTTATGATTTGTGCCTAAAAATTTTAACTCCCAATACCGTTCAGAAATACCTTTTCCAATACTTATCTTCCTGATAAGCTTATCTTTTTAACCACCTTCGTTGATCAGAGTTAAACAATACGATTAACCAATTCGATCGCTGGGTGTTCACTCACGAACTAGTGACCTCTAATTAAATAGACGAAAACATTTTGCTTTGTGTCAATGCCATGTATTGATCTAGTGTATACTGACACTGTAACGATAACGTTTATTTCTGCTATTTCGTGTGATTGAGACAATTTGTGCATATTCACTATTGTTCAAACTCGTCGATTATCTTTAAGCAATGGTAAACGCACTGAGTGAGGTCTTGGCCTTTCCAAACAGTTGAAGAATGTGTTGCTCTGTAATAAAATTATGCAATTTCCCAAATATTTGTGTCTTCCTCTGTAGAACGCGTTTCATATGTCTCGAGAAGCCTTCTCGGAATTACCAGAGTGGAAGAAGCTCAACTTGAAGAGAAATTTGAATTTATTCTGAAGCTTTGCGTATGCGTGCCTCTTCTACTTACTTATTTACCCCATCATGTGATATCCATCCCTTTCCCCACCGCCCAGGATTTTATCGAATCTGATCTTTCCTTCCTGCACTTAGCTGTCGTATGCCTTGACAAGACGAAACAAAAATTCTTTATTTTGTATTTTATGACAAACGTCATAATTCAATATCAGAACGTCTGTCTTGATTTGTTTCCTTTTGTTGCGATGGATTTGTTGGGTGGGGTGGGTAGGGGTTCGGATTAAGGCTTTATTCTTATTTATTACATAATCCGATTAGGTTTTGTTTTTCATTAAATCAGGTCCAAAACAATATGTGGTTCTCATTGAAAAGACCGATCAAGTGTTGATTGGAGAAATTGCAGCGACAAATTGAATCAATCACAAAGTGCGTTAAATAAGCGAACTAAGAGTTTGTGAGAAAGCTACACGGTTTAGTGGGTTGCAAGTGTTGGAACTCGAAAACCAGGAAGAGACGGAAGCACGAGTAAAGGCGGTCTGTATGTGGTTGAACTACCATTTGAACCTCGTAGCATTATTACCGGATCCTGGATCGCTAGTTAGATCTTCTTCCAGTTAGTAGATCATGGTAATGTGGTTAATACTATAAACATTCTGATTGATTGGCGATACCATAAGAGTGTACCACATTGGTCCCCATACATGTTGCATATAACAGGAACAAAATAGTGATACTGTGTGTATGAAATAAGGAATCCCACCGATACGCTCTTGCCAGGGAACTGAAATAGAACAGTCGTGTGACATGTCACATAAAATTGCAGCCTGAGTGAAAGAGAATGAGACGATTGCCGTTAGTGACGCATGAAGAGTAAAGACAACAACATGGTGAGAATTGGAAAACCGAATACATTGAAAAGAACCAGGAATAGGTGGAGCCGTGCAAAGTCAGGTCTACCTATTCAATTCCAAGAGTTTCTAAAAAGAAGACGAGATTGATGGTTGATTTCAGAAGTGATGAAATGAGGAATCTTGACTATTTGCTCTTTTTCTCCTATGGATGAAGTTACTTAGATAAGTTTTCGGCGTTTATGGCCTATTTAAGATAATAGTAGCGTTGGACAAGTTTAGAGTTCTAACTGTTTTTAGGATGTCCCAATTATTAAGTCACTAATAGAAAAACTTATTGTGGTTCAGTACTAAGCCAGAAGCCTGGAAGCAGTTAGTTTCACATAGCCTAACTGACGACTGATAATTAAAAGGATAGTTCCTAGTACGCACCCTGCCTCATAAATGTAAGGCAGTGTAAGCCTCAAGCCTGGTGAAAGCAGGCTCGCAACCTTGCTGAACCAAATCGAACACCTAGCTGGAGGTTGAGTGAGTCAAAGGGGAGGCCGAATCGGGATGCTTTATGTCGCTATTTGCTACAGTCTACATGGTCACATGTCACCACTGTTCTTGGTGAGTCAGCTGGATGAAAGGCGGCCCGCTCTCACCATTTATAACCCTCTCGCCTCTTGATTTTTATTATCTAAGTAGAGATCTATTTAAGTTTATATCAAATGGCAGGCGTTATGATAGTTATTATTAGCCCTTTAGTTGACTTCAGGCTTCACAGAG